AGAGATGGAGAGGGGAGGGGGGAGAGATGGGGGGAGATGGGGAGGGGAGAAGGCCCTGGCCATGCCTGAGGTGGTGTGGCTTCTGTACTCCAGAGAATCAGATGCTCTTCCTCCCCGCAGAGAGCCAGCAGCTGGGCCGGGTGGTGGTGGGCCCCTACATGTACGCCCGGGGCAAGGAGCTGGAGCACTGGACCACGATGCTCAGCAAGCCCAGGGAGCTGGTGAAGCGCTGGCACGCCCTCTGCTGCCCCGCGGAGTCCTGACCTCCGGACCTCCTGACCCGCGGACTCTCCACAGCCCTGGGAGAGTTCTACCTTCCAGCCTCTCACTGGACTGTGGGGCCCACCTGAGCCAGGGGGTGTGAGTGCTGACATGGGGGAGAGAGGTGACTACTCCCCAGCCTGGGAGACCTTCCCAGCTCACTCCAGCTCCCTTCCTAAGGCTGCCTGGGTCCGAGCAGTCTTGCATTCATTCCTTGCATTCATTCGGAACAAATGGTCTATTTGGCGATGGCTGCCTGCTGAATGGAAGCGCAGAGCGCACTCGGGCTCTGCCGGCTGGGAAAGCTGACCCCTGGTGATGCTAAAGCTGTAGTTTTTCAGCTGTTTCTCTGCCTCGCAGAGCAAACAAACTGCGCCAGGAGGGGCATGGGGAGGAGGACTACCTCGAGCGCTTATTTTGGTTGGTCCGTGAGAAACAGCACAGTCCAAGAGTGGGGCTCCGCTGCAGGTGCAGAGCAGCCGCTCAGGAGAGAGCTCCCAGGAGGCTCCCCCTGCTGCAGGAGCCGCAGGACAGGGCTGTGAGCAGCCTGCTGCCTGGTGCTGGGCAGGCTCTGGGCATCGGCTCCCTGTGCCAGGTTAGGAGGGCCTCATCTGCATTTCAGGTCCCTCCCCGGGGCTGTGTCACATTCTGCCCCCCCATCATGCCAAGCCTGGCCCACAGCCCGCCCTCAGAGTCCAGCACCTCGCAGCCCTGGTCTCACAGGGGCCCTGCTGCTGGCTTCCACGGTCTCCCTGGCCAGCATGGCCAGCCCCTGGCGCTCTCCCTTCAGGCAGGAACGGTGAAAGCACGTAGCCGAACTACAGCCTGAGGAGCCCAGCGCGTTTCCGGGCAGCCCCGCTCTGACTGTTGTGCTGTGGGAAGTGTCGGTGTGAAATTCATTAATGGAAGTTTCCACAAACCGTAGTCACTGGCCCTGAATTGTACTCAAGCTTAGCAGCAGGCATTGTGCTTGCCACTGCTACTGACCAGGCAGCCTGCATTTCACCCCAATGCTATTGAACTGCCAGGCAGTTACTGTATAACCAGAACAGAACTTTAAACCAGCATCCTCTCTTTCCTACGCAGTGAGGCAGCTTCAGCAAGAGAGTAGTGAGCCTCCCGCTCGCTTGGTTTCCACCTCCTGTCCCGGACTCGTCTCAGCCACTGCGCAAGGGCAGGACCCCCGAGTAGTGGGCCACGCAGACGGAGCAACACAGCTCTGCTCTTTCGCACAATTTCACCTGCACACTTTCAACGTCGTCCACACTCCAGTAATTTTTAATAGCTTACATGTAACAGGAATTCTCTACATGATTTTATAGCAGGCTACTAAGACGGAACCTGAGACAGGAGATGCGTCCACCCCCACTCATGCCTATGGGGGCCTTCCAGGGCCACTTGGAAAAGCTGGAAGGCAACCCCTCTGCGGGACAGAGTGGCCTGTGTGTCTGACAGCTCAGAAGTCTCAATGGCAAGAGACGGGCAGGCTCTGCTCCTACGGGGAGGAAGAAGGGGTGGCTGTGCTGGGCTGGCCCCTGTCAGGGCAAAATGTACACAAGGGCTTCTGACGGACGGGCGCGAGAGGGCCTGGGTTACCTCAGGTGCTGCCGGCGAGGTGACCAGGCAGAAAGAAGCCCTTTGCATTTCCATGCATTTTAGAATCAGCTCATCGATTTCCACACACAAGAAAAGTGCTAGAATTAAATGTGTCTCACTGACTGTATAGGCCAGTTTGGGGGCCACCTGACACCTTCTCAACATTGAATCTCCGGTCCATAGCATGGCACACCCCTCCATTTCAAGACTCTTGCAAGTTTTCTTAGGACCATTCCTGGGTTTTCAGCAAAATGCTCTTTCCCATCTTTCATCAGATTTATTCTTAGGTGTTTTATATGTGCTTGTTGCTGTACACAGAGATCCTGTTGATCTTTTTGTGTGTTGGTTTTGTAAAAAGTGAGGGCCTTGCTAAAGTCACTTAAACTGTAGTAGTGGGTCATAGATTGCTTGCATATAATCTTGACCTCTGCGAATGACTGTTGTGTTCTTCAGTCCTCACCCGAGGATATGTTTTTGTTGATTTCAGAGAGAGAGGAAGGGGGAGAGAGAGAAACGTTGGTCAGTTGCCTCCCATACGGGCCCCGACCAAGGACTGAACCCACAACCTGAGTATGTGTCCTGACCGGGAATCAAACTCGCCACCAGCCAGGGCTGCAAATAACAGTTTTATTTCTTCCTTTTCAGTCTTCGTGTGTTCTTTATCTCTTTGCCACATTGCAGCAGCTGGGCAAGTGGGGAAGGAAAGAAAGAAAAGGCACCCAGAGAGTAAAAGAAGTAATCTACTGAGAAGGGATTGATTCCGCTTGGTCACCGAGAGAGCCTTTGTCACCGCTCATTTCAATATTGTTTTAATCTGCACTGCTTCCATGCTTAGTGTTCTTGAATATATTTCTGCATGCTTAAAAGCATTTGTTTCCTTTCTATGAACTGTCTTTTCTTCTAACGCTCTTTGTCAATTTTCTATTGTGTTTTTGGTCTTTGTCCTATTGAATCCAAGTCTTCATGTATCATTTCTTTTGTTAGTAATTTTTTCCCTTTGTTATGTTTATTTTGTGAATTTAACATCATATTATAATTTGTTTTCAAAATGTTTAAAAAAAAAAAAGAAAAAACTCCTTTTACAGATATGGTCTTATATATAGAAAAACCTAAGGAGTCCCCCCAAAACTATTAAAGCTAATACACAAGTTCAGCAAGTTGCAGGATACAAGGTTGGTATACAAATTACATTTCCTAGGGCCTCGCGGAGAATGCCGACTGCAGCAGTAGTAACGGGTATGTGTGCTCCTCAGTCTCGGGCAGGCGGAACTTCCAGTATTTACTATTAACTATGATGTTTGCTATAGGACTTTTCATATACTCGTGACCATGTGCCCTCAATTTGTTAAAAGTATTTTTTATCACAGTGTTCAATTTTATCAAATACTTTTACTGCATCTTTCAAGATAAAAGAATAAAGGAAAAAATATGATTATTTTTTAAATTTATCTTTATTGTTAAAAGTATACATATGTCCCCCCTTTTCCCCCACATTGATCCCCTCCACCCCGCATCCACGCCACCCCCCAGGCCTTCTCCATACTATGGTCTGTGTCCTTCATTTATGCATATAAGTTCTTTGATTAATCTCTCCCCACCCACTCCCCCACCCCGCCTTCCCTCTGAGATTCCTGTCTGTCCTTTATTCTTTTAATGATGAGTTAAAAGAATAAAGGACAGGATGAATTATATTGATTGATTTTTGACACACACACGCCTCCGGTTTCTATTACAAGCCTCCCCCACTATCAGCATCCACTACCAGAGTGGTACATTTGTTATAATCAGTGAACCTACATTGAACATCATAATCACCCAAATATCATAGTTTACATTACGGTTCATTCTTGATGCTGTATATTGTGTGGGTTTGGAAAAAAGTATAATGACATGTTACTACATTTTAAAATATTTTTGCAGTTCTGTTCCTGAGAGATTTTCTTTAATCTTTTAATGTCCTTGCACTTGAAAAGAGTGTCTTCTGCAGTGGCTGTGAGCAGGTGCTCTAAGTGTTTCTTAGATCAGGCCAGTTGATCTGACTGGTCACATCATCTGTGGTTACTGATTTTGGCGGAGATCTGTTTTTCTGTTCATTATTGAGGCATTAAAGTTTCCTACTGTGATGCTGATTCTGTTTACTTGATTATTTCTTTTAATTTTGACTATTTTTGTTTTATATATGTTTTATGTGTTACTAAGCTCATACCCATTTAAGATTGATATTTTTCTGGTGGATTGAACCTTTTATCATGGCTCTCTCTCTATACTCATAATGGTACATTTTTTCCATTTTCCCTATATTTTTCAACTTTCTTATGTTCTTTTATTTAAAAATGTTATTGAATTTTTGGGGTGACATTGGTTAATAAAAGTATATAGTTTTCTTATGTTCTTATAATATGTTGTATCCTATAATATCTTGAATATAGTTCATCTTACCAAGTCTGTCAACCTCTGTCTCTTCTGTATTTAGTTCATTTACATTTAATGTAATTACTGACATAGTTGCATTCATGTATCACATCTTACTATTTGTTTCTATTTGTCCTACTTATTTTGTTTTCCTCTTGTCAATGTAAGAAACGTTCAAACCTATAGAGAATTTTTATGAATTTATTTCAGCTAAACTGACAGTTGCTGGGAAGCAAAACCTCAATGGATTGAGAAAATCCTCTAGAAAATGGTAGTTTCACCATTTATTTTATACATTGGGACCAAAGGGCAAGCCATAAGGGGGTTACATGAAATTCATTTGTGATAAATTAGGGAGGCGGCAGAAAGCAAGGGGGCGGCAATCTCTGGGATTGGATAAAAAGTGAACCGATGATATCACATACTCCTTTACATGTGTAGGTAGTACATTAGAATAGGGCCAAAAAGACAATAGACAGGCTCTGGTAAAGACTGACCTTCGCCAGGGAACATTCTAGCCAAGGACATGACTGCCCGCCTTGACCCACTTTTAGTTAGAAAGTTTTCATTTCTGACCATCCTGTGTGGTTACTGCTGGTCTCCGAGTTTGCAAGGCCATGCAGGCCTCCCCTGAGCTGGTCAGGTTTACAGTGTGGCCCCTTGTCATCCACATTCTACTTTGTTTCCTTCTCTTGGATTACTTCATTTTTTATCCCATTTTACACAGTCTGTTACTATTCCATTAATGGTTCCTCTAGAGATTACAACCTATATCCATCATGTATTATAGTCTAACACAACTTTATTTTTACCCCCTCAGACAATGCTCTCACCCTACAATACCCAATCTCTGTTCTTATCCATTCTCCTTTTGTGTTACTGGTATTAATTCCATCCATATCTTACACCGAACAAGACATTGCTGCTTTTGCTGTGTTCAGCCAGCATCCATTTATGTTCACCCACATATTTAACCTTTCTTTTGCTTTTTATTTTTCCCTCATTTCTGTGGTTCTACCTGAGATCGTTTCCTTACACCTGAAGAACTATCTTTAGTATTTCTTCTAGTGCAGATCTGGGGAGCACATTTTTTAGTTTTTGAATAGAAAAGTCTGTTTCAAGTTCATTTTTAAAAATATGTTTCTATTGATTTTAGACAGGAAGGGAGAGGGAGAGAGAGAGAGAGAAACACCTGTGTGAAAGAGAAACATCGATT